TATTTGTTTATAAATGGTCTCGCTGAATGTAAAATAGGTTGTCCTTATTTTCAACATGATTAGTCTAGTTAATTACTCCCTCCTGATCCGTTGTGATTCCAGGATATCCTCCTCTCGGTCCAGCATTTCCAGCAGGGCCTTTAGTGCATTTTCTCCAGAGATATTTGTATACATCGATTCTACATCGACACTTACCAATAAGTCCGTTTCTTCCAGTGCCATGTTTTTGATTTTTTGAGAAAATTCATATAAATTTTTCGCGGTGTTTGATAGCCTCTCATTAAATTTATTGAGTTTCAAACATATAAACTTTGCTAATTTGTGTGTTGCTACAGATTTGTTGTTGACTATCAGCCCTAGTGGCTCGCCTTCTTGGTAATCCTTAGGCTGTTGGAGGTCGTGCATCCTTTCTTATGATTGAATTTCTTGTCCATGCGTCAATTTCCCCATTCCTATGCATATCTTTCAACATGTCACTTAAGATTCCATTGATCTTCATAGTTGGCTACTTGTCAAATATACGATATGTGGTCCTGTCTCGTAGAATATGTCCCATCATCTCGGTATATTGTTTTTTATCCATTATCACTGTAGCCTCTCCTTTGTTCGCCTAAAGGACTAATTGTTCATTCGTTTCCAGGGTTTTGCGTATCACGGCAAATATATTCCTGTGTGCAGACTCCTGATGTGTCAAGATTTTTGGAATTAATTCCATCTCCATTTCCCGTTTTGTCTCCTTAGTGAACCTGTCGGCGATATTGATAACCTCCACCACGATGTCTCCTAAATGGCTTCTGTTATGTTGAATTTAAAAATAAAGTCCTTTTTCCAGGAACGCGGTTGTTTTGGGATTGAGAGGAATTGAGGATAAGTTTAATACTTTCTTCCGATCCTCGTGCTGATCAGTAGGTGATGTCACCTCGGAAGCCACTTCAACTGGGCGTACTGGCTTAACTTAGGCTGTCTTATAATCCCAAACCTACGCATTTTATCGTCATGGCGTTTTTTTATTAAGTCACAAATCACACATGATTTCCTGTCGGTCATTCTCTGGAGTTTTTGAAAATCTTCCGGAGACGGGATCCTGGCCAGATCACGCTGGAGCTTTGACTTTGACCCACTTCTATAAATCTAAAGGAGACTGCAACCATACCAGAGACCACAACATCTTAGTCTTCATATCTTCAGTTTATTTAATGTTATTCAAAACCTCTTCTTTTAATTGCCCATACATGAATTCGTGAATGCATGTACATTTCAGATTGCCTGTGGCCTATACATGCTTCAACCTATTAATTCTGCCGGACTACAAAGACGAAGGTATCTTGAAGCGAAAGCTGCAGCAAGCGATCTATAATTGCAACCGTTTCGAGCTAAAGTGATATTCATCTGAGTACAATGTTATTTTGCTTAATCTGATATTAAACCTTTTTATTGTAATCTTCATCCTGCTATCCATGTCATTGAATCTCATAACATTCGATCATATAATGGGCTGTCTAGTCTTGGATATCCTCGTGTGAATTAAGCCATAATTAAGACGGGATTTTGCCATTATGTAGAGCATATTGAAACCGTCACACCGACCCTCAAGTCATCATTTTTCATTTTATCCATAATAAATCATAATTAAATACAGGATACAACTATTATATATCTTTGCTTCTGATTGATCAGTTACTCAGATTACTTATAAATTAATTTTGAAATTTGATAAAAACCCAGCAATCCAATTTCGCAGTTAATTAATTTTTTTTCAAAATCTTTTATAATGAAATTTAAAATAGATAGTTTCCACTTAGTAAATGCATGCAAAAAGAACATTCGACTAGACTTAATCTGTAAAATCAATATGACTAAATACCAAATGCTTTAAACCGATCATATATTTTGTAAATAAATCAGGCTCAAGGCTTATAAAAGTATGCCTTAAGTCTTCATTTCTTACAAAAGTGATAGTGACATGTGTTTCGCAATGGAAAATGGGAAAGGAGCTCCGAATTACTTTGGCTTTGCTTTCCTCTCCCATACTAGGCAGAGCAATCACACATAAGGTGTACTCCGTTTTACTATTAAAGAACCATTCATGGATAAGCGTGATTGGATAACCTCCAATGGCAGTGACCACGGCTGAGCTTGAATTGATGAGCAGGAGTAGCAGTTACTCCGAAGTCAATCTTGAAGGAAAGTCTTGATAAAATAAGCCCTTAATCGAATTTCCGAAAAGGGTAGTTTGAGGCTTATAAAACTTATACCTCATTCTCGAAATACAAATCAACTTAGGAAGTATTTTGCCTAACTAGTTCTTTCCTCCAAAATTGTATCGTTCCAATTGTCTACCTAGTGACTACTGTACATGATGTTGAGAAGAGATATTTTCGAAGAATAAATCGTTTAAGAATATATCATTGTTAAGCTTGAATTCATATTATACGAAAGTGTGCTGAGGAGATACTAATGTTGGTACAACTCTAAGACGACATCAATTTACCGTTGGTCTTCTGCTTGACTTTTCTGGGTCGTACTAGCCGGCAGTCTTTTAGCTCCTCTTCTTAGGAAAACTATATAAGCTTGAAGTGATAATCAGAATGCCTTCTTGCCGCGGACCGTCCATCGACTCCAATGAAACTGGGCTAAGCCTTCGTCTGTACTGTGACAGACATCATCAGAGCAAGAATCCATACTTTGCAAAATAGAGAAAAAATGCACTAAACCAAGAGTTTTGTTTCTATGCACAATTCAAAAATCTTCCCTACGCGGCAATCCTCTTTCGGTTTCCGGCAAGAGCACATCACAAATTCCTTCCAACCAGCTTTGACTTCTAAATGGAAAGTCATGCCACAACGAACATTGGTTAAATCACAGATATAAAGACCAAGATTGTGTGGCCTTCTGCCTGATTGCAGTCTCCTTTATCTTTATAGCGTTGGTTCGACCCAGTTTTCGCAAATTGGTTTGAGCGCTAGAGAGACTTTGTGGAAGGTACCTAGTCCTGTCTCCTCGACTATAGTATTCGTGATTTCAAGTATCAAATGATTGACTTGGTAGAGTTCCAAACGATTCGCAGACATCGTCAGTGAGAGGCGTCATCGTTAGCACCGAGTTACAAGAAGAGGAGAAAGGGGGAAAGAATTTAGGTCAGGAAACCTGCAAATGACACCTGGTACTTGATTACGCTTCGCTAAACATATTTGTAGCGACACGCGCTTAGGCATTATTGGAGGAAACGAGAGTACAGAACTGTGTGAATAGGTAGATTGGCCATATGAAGTGGGGGTTGAGAGATGCAACATTAGAAGGTAGAACAAAAATTAGGGGCGAGTAGTGATGACACAGCGGTTGAACAGAAATTTGACAAAGAGATTGCTTTCACTTGTCACTTTGATCAGCTGTAACTATGTGTTAACGATGACGCCTCCCACTGAAGATGCTGACTACGAGGCCGGCGAGACGTTTGGGAATGTAGCAAGTCAATGGTTTGATGCTGGAAATCACGAATACTATGGTGGAGGACACAGGACCATGTACATTCCATAGCGCCTGCCGGAATATCCGACTATGTCTTGAAAATAAGGTTAAATCAAATCATAAGTTAAGCCAATATTTATAGTTGGTGCGCTTCGATACTATCAGTATATCTTGATTAAGATCTGTAGGGGAGGAAGTCTGATAATTTAATTTTCCCAAAATGCTAAATATGAACTTCATGATGACATTTAATTTAGCTTAGCCTTGCCTCCCGAAATGTATTTTCATGCAAGGTTGACTGTAGTTTTAACTTAATCTGGGTCGCATTATTCTCTGCCAAGGGGGATCGAACACTATATGCCATTGATCGCTTCTAAATCTACTAACCAAGAATATAAGTAACGTAGTCAATTAAAATGGCAAAGCACAAGTTTTTCTCACCGATAATCCCACTATAAAGCTGACCTTGATACTAACAATCAAGTCAAGAAAAATTTTCAGCTAGAAGTGCGAAATTTCATCAAAATTGGCTGACCACGAGAATTGTCCACAATCTCAAGTCTCAAGCATTTTTACATGTTTTTAGTTATTTAGATTTGATTCAAGTAATTAATTATTTCCCCTGTTATCTTCGATAAGTTTTGCCGTCCCGTAGAACGTGATGAAAGGCACTGAAAATGAGAATAATTATTTCGTTTTAATCTCCCCCTGTCGAATGTGCTAGTGCTCGCATCTTATATTATTCAAATGCCCATTTTAACTGCTTTCCTTTATGACGCTTTTATATTTTTTCAGCTATTTTCTATTGACTATAACGTTTTAACGAGCTCTTACATTCTGACCAAAAATGTGCTAAAAACTTTTAAGTAATTTGAGGTAGACTGATGTAGCATTCACTTAAAACGCATTGAGACCAGACATTATACTTCCACCCTTTGAGAAAAATATCATTAGTTACCATTCTGCAAGTTGAAACAACCTAAATCTTATATGTTGTTTATAAATAAGTTTTCGAGACTAAAAGTAGATCATATATATGATGCGTATTCCCCCGATTTCATTTAAAATGTATGGGGACTGGACTACGCAGTGTGGAGTAGTAGCTATTGTGTCGATATTATGCGCCGCATGGTCATGGTTTAGGTCCCGCTTGGGGTGCTAATGAAACTTAAGCGAAGTCGAAACTGCAGTCCACCTTAGATGATAATACCTTATAGCAAAGCGCGCCTATATGAAATTTAATGGAAATATAAGGTATATTGATAGTATTGCAAGAAAATTTAACTACCAGTTTCCTTATCACCTTAAACAAAATAAGGTGAATACGCCTCATAACCTAAATTTTGTTGTAACTAATGCATTTGATTCTTCTTCTTGATGTTTACGCTACCCAGACTAATTACGATCTACACTATCACCTTCCACTTTTAGTTCTATCACTTTTGTTATTTCTCATTTAAGAATAAGATAGCATAAAAGATTTTAAAGTTTGTCTGAATCTGATTAAAAACGTTTAAATGCAATTCAGTTGACTAGGGACACTAGATAAATGGGAACATTACAATTCACAGAGAGGAGAGGAGGAAGGTAAAGGGAAGGACCCTTCTGTCAACAATTAGCAGTATCATTGCTCTGTCCGAGCCACTTAATTTACCATGGCATATTCAGATATCAGGATATCTTTATCCAATCTTGTGCATAGAGTCTTCTTCCAATAATCTTTGGGCCAGGTTTCACTGCCACGTTCTGTTAATATGCAGCCTGTCCATAATGTGTTGGAAGTTTCTCGACCTGATACAAAATATACAATTAAGAATAAAGCTTAGGAAGTAAAATAATTTATTATATTATAGGGCTATTTTAACTTGTAGCCATAGCACTAGCAAAATCTCACTATTTAACTAGCCAAGATGAATGGAAAGTATGGGAGTGAACAAGAATTTAGTCACCATAGTTGGCACCAGAGTATTTAAGGGTTTCTTTGGCGACTTGTAGCTTGTTGCTGAGAATGACAAGACTCACACGGGCAAGCATGGAAATCGTACGCAAGAGAGATCCTTAATAACCAAGATCCTTTTTATAACTGGCTTGTTTAAACATGCAAAAGTGGTCGTTGGGCTTACTCTTTGTCGGATCAAGGCGGCAGGTCTCATCCATTTCGCCGCTCCAGACGAGGCGTGTGAACACCTCTCTCAGCCAGCCAGAGTATCTACGAAACTCAGCTTTCCGAACGCGTTCCAGCATCCAGTTTCCAGTCAATATAAGCAGGTCGAGACCGCGAAATGCAAGTCGTCTGGACCGTTGACCTACCCGCTCAGATCCCTTTGTGCCGGCTATGGTGGATCCAAGCCCAGGAACGTTGACCAGGGGCATAACTGTCGGCTGATCGTGGATCAAATGAAATAGCCGGGTCCGTTGAGTCTTTGCTGAATTAGTGGCTGCCAAGACGCCATCGTGGAGACGACTGAGTAGGTGCAGTTGGGGGCAGATGACGCGCAAAGCGGCAAGGAGTTCTGTCGCGACCTCATTAGGGGTCCGTATCTGCAAAGCTGGAGACGACGAGACTTGAGATTTTGCATTGTTGCCTTTGTCGATGATACCTTGCGGTTCAGAAATGGTCTGAAAGAGTTCTAACAGGAAATCGAGATCCGATTTTTCCTTTGTTAGTGGTGCAAGAAGGCGAACTACAGCATCAGGTAGCAAGGAGATGTTTAAGCTCAGCCACGTATACTCGAGCCCAGGCAGTCCATCAAATTCATCTGACATCGAAGATATAATTAAATTCTCCGTTGCACTGGTATCTTGACAAATAAGAGAAGCATACGATTTGAATAGTTTATAAACTGTACAGGATCTGCTGCATTGCAATCATATACGAAATTTAGGTTGGATTTAATTCACACAGCTTAAAGGCCGTTATGTGAAACTTCCGAAACGATAAGTAAATAGCCATTAAGTTTTTATTTTCGGATCGTAGACTAAGCCTTGATAACGACTTCATTAACTTATTGAAAAATGGTGTAAAGGATTGCCTAGTTTTGCCTTCGAGGATGATACTTAACTTGTGATCATGGTGTGAATTCAAACATAAACCCTCTATATATCACTTCGAAATCCCAAGGAGTCAATTATGGGCTTTATCCCTAGATGATAGAATAGCTAGTTTCGTAAGAAGTGATTTCTTAGGGCTGTCTGCCCCTACTTTTGAGGACAGAATAAAAATAATTAATTCTAAACTATTATTAGGCATATTTCCATTTCGGGTAAAAGTATTTGACTAAGAGATTCGAAGGTCGATCTCACCAGAAGACGACGGCGGATTCCTATTAACCAGCTGTCGATTAGCTTTACTGAAACCTTCTTATTGATGCTGTTACCGAAGTAATCTCCTTCGATTCCGGTGCCAACGTGCTAAGCTTTCGTCCGTCGTATAACGGACATCATCAAAGCAGGATATCATCTTTACAACCATATTCAAACTAACAAGTTAGGAAAACTCGCTTTTTCGTCATACGACGAAGGGGATTACCTCGGAAACATCGTTAACAATAATGTTTCAATAAGGCTAATCGACAGCTGGTCAAGAGGAATCTGCTGTCATCTCCTGATGGGCGATCTTCACAAAACATTCTTATTTGAAATGGAAGTAATCAAAACAATTATTAAACAGGAGATTCCTCGAAACCCAACTTTTCTTCGTATATCTAAGCTACTATTTCGTGGTAAAGGGTAAAAATACATCGCGCCCTAAGTTATTTTTTAAATCTGGCTTTCGAAAACATTATGTATTTATTAAAGTTGTTGGCGAAAGAACTCTAAGAAATCAGTCCTTATATTCATCGTTTGCCAACGACGATTCTAGTTACAGTCAATTATTAAATAAAATTAGGCGAAAATGAATTTTCTAACTTACAAAGTAGACGATTGAAGAGTTTTAAGTGTCTTTCAGTAGGAAAAACTCACGAATATTTACAAATGCAATACCCATAGAGGATTAGAAATGAGATGGCGTTAACTGCTAGGGTGATTCCTCTCAAAGCCATTCTTGATGATGAAATGGGCTACGATCCTAGTGAAGTT